GCAAAACACCAGCCAAGCCGAGTCAAATTCTTTACAAAGTGACTGTGCGTGCAGGGTTTCAAGACTAACCTAAGCAAGAGTGAGACCTTGAGTCTACTAAAAAGAGAAAAACTAGCCAGGCATGGTGGTAGGTGCCTGCAGTCCCAGCTACTGAGGAGGCTGGAGGAGGATTGCCAGAGCCCAAGAATTTGAGGTTGCTGTGAGTTATGACACCATAGCACTCTACCCAGGGTCACAGAGTGAGACTCTGTCTCAGAAGAAAAAAAAAATCCCTTACAAAGGGAACCCCTCTAGAGCTCAGCATCTCCCTAGTCAGAGTCTGCACGGCTACTATATACATCTTTCACCAAGAGGATCCTTCTTCTAACCTTCCCATTCAAGTCCCCAGGCACCTGCCAAGAAACACCAGCCCTACACACAGGAAGCAAAGCTCTGGGTGCAGCTATCTTCCGCCAATAATCCATGTCCCTAAATCTGAGTTACTGTCTGGATCAGAGCCCTGGAGGGTGGGAGGAGGCTGTCCAACTGTCCAGGGAGGAAAGGCTTTGGTGGATCTCAGGGAGGGGGCCCACCCATGTGTTGCAGACATGTCATTTGATCCCCTTGGCTCCTCCAGCTGGGTGACTGATTAAGCCATACACACGCAGACACACCTCTAAAGGACCAATATCTCTACTGTGACCAACCCCGGATGAGAGGAATGAGAGCATGCTCCTGGCACAGACAGATACAGCACCTTCAAGGGGCTCTGCTGTCACAAGCCTGGAGAGAAATGTCAATCTCCTGTCACTCTCTGCCCAACCTGGTTTCCAGCTGTGCACTTTCTAACTCCCAGGAATGCCTAAAACCTTATGTAGGGTCATGAACCTGGTGCCATCCTCTTCCAGAACAGGTAGGATGTCAGGCTTGCCAATACCCCATTACCTGCCTACAGAAAGAGGTGGAATTAAGCAGAGAGGCCTGAGGGGTGGCACCTGGCCTGTCTGGTGACCATGGAAGAGCCTTGTGGGTCCAGCACACAAGAAAGCAGCTACTTTTCCAGCTGACCCTTCTATCCTCTGCCAACTCTCATAGAAGCCACAGCCACCGAGCAAAGACACACTGGGAGAGCAGAGCCTCTTCTCACTGCTGTGAACCTCTCCACCAAAGAACCCGGTAGAGGGGCTATATGGGGCTGTGGCCTGACCTTCACTGTCCTTCCTGTAACCGAACTTTTTCAGACACGCAGTGCAGGATTCATACCCCCCTCCCCAGGACTCTCAGAGGCTACAGGCTCCTGGAGCATTCTACCCAAGTTAGGTGGGTGTGTCTCCTGCAGGTGCTTCTGAAGCTGCTGACCAGTCCCTACAGTCAGTCGCAGGTGACCCCAGCAGAAAGTGTGGCTGACAGAATTGCAATAATGATGTCAACTGCTAAATGGCTACTCTGCCCTCCTGGGGTGCCAGGCTTTCAACAGGAAAAGGAAACAAAAGCATTGTAAGGAATGACCAGTAGCAGGAAGGTTGTTAACTATGCTGTGGACAGAAACACAGTGGGAGGGAACAATGGAATCTGTGGATTGATTAGCCACATATTGCTGAGCTCCTTTCAGTGACAGACCAATAAAACAAGAACATCAAGCTCACAAAACACTTTCTGATCCTGAAGCTAAGAACGTGCATTGGTCAAATCATTACTGTAAGCAGTGTGATCATCCATCAGGTGGGACATGGAGTGACTGTGTTCTGGGGTTTTTGGTGTTTTTTTTTTCTATCTGTTTACAACTCTCAAGATGTTTTTCTTTGAGATACAGTCTCATTTTGTCACTCTCGGCAGAGAGCTGTGGAGTCATAGCTCACAGCAACCACAGGCTCTTGAGTTTAAGTGACCCTCTTGCCTCAGCCTCCCAAGTAGCTGGGACTTACAAGAGCCTTGCCACAACGCCCAGCTATTTTTAAAGACGAGGTCTAGTTTTTACTCAGTCTGGTCTCGAACTCCTGAGCTCAAGAGTGCTAGGATTAAGACGTGAGCCACTGCGCCCACACCTCTAGAATTTTTTATGAACTTTAAATGTTTATCATTCATTTATAATTCATTCAATGAGAGGCTCTCTGAGTTTACTAAGTTCAAATCTGTAAAATCTTTCCCCTGTGACTTTTCTCCATTTCAGTCTTCTCTTCTGCAAGGAGGATTAAAAGCAAATTCCCCACGCCTCCTGAAGTGGGTCTGGTGCAGCAAGAGTGTGCGTGCAGGCTCTCCAAGCATTTTCAAAGGAAGCCAGGAGAGGAGGAGATAGAGTCAGTGAATGCAGAAACGCCCGGGAAGAGAAGGGAATATAAATAATACTTAAGGATAATTTGAGAGCGGGGACAGAGATTTAGTATTCAATAAAAGAGGCAAAAAGTTAGGGCTCCGGTGCACTTATAAATAACGTTTATCAACTACTTTATTAAAAAAAATTTTAAAGGGTTTTCTTGAAAGGCCGAAAAATACTTTGGCTAAAGTGTGGTGTAATTCGAGATATCGGAAGACTTCTGTTAAGAAATGATTTCTAATCTCATTCTTTTAGGGGGACCTGGTTCTGACTCATTCATAGGTCGGAGCACACGCACTCGCCGCCACACGGCCTCTGCACGAAGTGGCCGCCCACGTGCCGGTGTCGCGCATCCCCGGGCCGGGAGCGTGGACGTCGTGACGAGCGCCCGCGGCCACCCTGCACCAGGCGCCTAGCCCGCGCGCCCGGAGCATGCTCAGTGGCTTTCGCCCCACTTCTGCAGGTACGACCTCGGACGCCGGGCACAGGCAGTACTCTACTCGGTGCGCCAGGGACGGAGAAGGGAGCGACTGTGAGTCGCTCTGAGCCGCCTCTTTCCAGGACAGCAATCCCTGAGCTGGCGCGGAACATGCTCAGACTCGCTGCGGCAAACACTAGGCGCGGCAGTGCGGATAATCCACTGGTCCGGGTTATTTCCACAACCTAAAAAGAGGGCGGTACGGAGTGGAGGGCGGGAGGGGCGTGGCAGGGGCGGGCTGAGATGAGCCGGGGCAGAGAAGAGGAGGAGGCGGGGTAGAGAAGAGGAGGAGGCGGGGCAGAGAAGAGGAGGAGGCGGGGCAGAGAAGAGGAGGAGGCGGGGCAGAGAAGAGGAGGAGGACAGGAGGCGAGAGAACTGAGGCAGAGAAGGGGGAGGAGCCAGGAGGAGGAGGCTGGGGAGTAAGGAGGAGGATAGGGATGAAGACCAAGGACGTTTCTGGAGCGAAAGAGGAGAGGCGGGCAATGGCCAGAGGTCGGGCCAAGAGGAGCTAGTGGGTAGAAGCCCGGGGAGGAAGCTGGGCAAAGGAGGCGGGGGAGGCGGTAGAGGAGGCCGAGGAGGCGCGGGAAGTAGTGGAGGCAAAGAGCCAGAGGCGAAGGACCCAGGAGAGGAGGCGGAGCGCGGGAGGAGTGAAGGGGGCCCCGAAGAAGGCGTGAGGAAGAGTATGGGGGCAGGAGGCGGAGGAGTTGGAGGTGAATGAGGATCTTGGGATGAGGAGGAGAAGGCGTGGCGTGGGGCGTGACTGGCGAAGAGAGACTAGGATGAAGTCGTGGGAAGCCCGGGGCAGAGAGAAAGCCCAGGGTAGAAGCCGGGGTGGAGGATTAGCAGGAGCAGAGGAGTTGGGAAGAAGTGGGCGGTGCGTGGCCGTGGGCGGAGGTAGTGCCAAGTGGAGGAGGCGCCGAGGGCGGGGAAGCAATGGGAACGAGAGTGGATCCGGAGGGAGGAGACAGAGGAGGGGCCGGGGGAAGAAGAAGGGAAAGGGGAGGTAGGGGACGGGACGGAGGAGGGACTGAGCTGGAGAGTGGGAGCCCGAAGGAGGAGGAGGAAGGAGGAGGAGCT